CCCACCAAAACTGACTATCAATGACTTTTCCTGTGCACCCTCCTTGCCACAACAGACAGAGCGTGCGACGACCCTCCTCAAGGCCTGGATCTCGCGCAAGTGTAGCCCTCCCTCTGCAGCCACGGACCAAACAAGAGTCGGTCACCAAAAGTCAGAAACTCTACCAGAAGTTTACTCGTTACGTGGACAACCATCGGAGAGAGATCTTTTGGCTTGTTCTCTACACCCTGGTTACCCTCGGAATTTTCGTGGAGAGAGCACATTGTAAGTTGAGCAGATTGTACAACACCTGGTGTAAGAAATAATGTTTCTTTGTTTTTGTTGCGTTTCAAACCAATTTTTAGCTTTACTCCTTCAGTTTTTCCTGAGGAAATATCATAATCCTTTGATTACAATTTACATTTTCCCACCTGAGTTAAATGCTGCATGTATGACCTACAAACACACTCACGCGACTGATGTATATTCAATAGAGTACATCTGAAGGTCAGGGATAAAAAACCCTAAATGATTATCAACATTCTCATCTGCACAAAATCCGCTAATTAAGCTATCTTAAAACAACTAAATTCAAGCCCTTGCACCTAAAACTAGAAACCCTGGTAGACATTTCAGATTGCCTTTCAGTTTTGATCCTTTCAGAACTGCCAAACAGTGTTTTAGGAAAATTTGAAAGTACGCACAGCATTACGTTTAGTTGTTTGCATGAAGTCTTTTTCGCCTGTCTGAGATAGGATGGAGCCTGTATCAGAAAACGTTAAGCGTTGTTTTGGAACAGATCAGGTTGGATTCCGCAAGGAACCAATTCAACACATTTGGGTCAAGTGTCTCGGCCAGGGTAGAACAATGACATCCACATTATGTTTGGTCTTTATTTGAAAATCTCAAACAAAGACCATATTTCAAATGCCAGGGTACTGAACAGAATCACAAACGCAGTGGGACAGCATGAAGATCTTCTGACCACAGTGAAGAGACGAAAATTAAAATGGTATGGGCATGTCACAAGATCCACAGGACTTTCCAAAACAATCCTACAAGGAACCGTACAAGGAAGTAGAAAGAGAGGAAGGCAGAGAAGGAGAGGGGAGGACAACATCACAGAGTGGACGGGGAAGACGATGGGTGGCAATCTGAGGAAAGCAGAGGACAGACGGAAATGGCGAGAGCTGGTTGTCAGATGCAGTGGTGCCCCACGGTTGCCCCAACGACGGGATAAAGGAAGAAAAAGAAGAAGAAGAAGAAGAAGGGACTGGACTTTGACAAGGAAAGAAGAAAGCAAAATAAATGAGTTTGGGATGTGGTGCTACCGTAGAATGACCATAATAAATTGGAAAACAAATAAGACAAATAATGAGGTGTGTCAGATTCAACACACAAGACAAACTGTACTGAATAAAAGAAAATGTACAAAAAATACAATATTTTGGCCATTTAAAACGACACGAGACCACTGTGAAAGTGGTGCTTGAATGAAAAATGTGGGGCAGAAGAGCCAGAGGAAGACAAAGGATAACATGAATGGACAACATAAGAACATGGACTGGCCTTGATATGGTAGAATGTGCAACAGCAGTTCGCGACCGTGAAGGATGAAGGGTCATTACACGTCAACCCCTGAGTCAGAGACGACACTATCAGGTATCCAGATCTTTGTTGTTTTGGTGCAATGTTAGAATGTCACTGAACTCAAACCAAAGTTGATCAAACTTAAATATTGTTATTCCAGATTATTCATTTGAACGCGAGCATGCAGGGCTGAGGCGGCTGGCTGGTTATGGTGTCTCTATAACTCGGGGTGCTGCCAGTGCCCAGATGTTTACTTACGCCAGTCTCCTGGTAACCATGAGCCGGAATACGCTGACCTACTTCAGGTAAAAGAAAAAGCCAACGGACACCCTATGATTTGAGTCTTGGAGTTGTATACTGTACAATATAGAAAGGGACTATGTAATTTCTCAGCTCTCACAAATCTTGTTTTGTTTCCTCTCCCCCGTTTCTCTACCTATCTTTCCGTCTCTATCTATCTATCTATCTATCTATCTATCTATCTATCTATCTATCTATCTATCTATCGTTTTCGTTCACTCCCAAGGCGACACTAACCCAGTGTGGTGATATAATTTATTTATGCAAAAGTATTTTTACCTGCGAGCAGCCACATAGTCCACAACAGCATATTATTATATCCTGTATTGGAGCTAAAAGACAATACAACGTTCCGCCATTCTGAGCTACAAGTGTATTTTCGTGACAATTTCAGGGAAACAGTACTACAACGCATCATTCCCTTTGACAGTGCTCACGATATGCACATCTACATTGCTGCGTTAGCCATGTTGTTTACAGGTGAGATGTACTAGCATACTTAGACGGAAATCGTCCTTAGAGCCAGATCCGCGTATCATGATTTTGGCGCGAAATTTTTTTTTTGTCACCAATCGAAAGTGCGTATTATGGGCTTCATTTCTGTATACGTTTCCCTGAGTTCCCCGCTTTAAAATTTAAAAAGCAAATAACTGTCTCACTTATCGTAGCTGTTTGCTTACAAATTAGCTCATTTTGAGATGTGCGGGATGGATTTCAACATTGTTACAACTTGGATGACGCAACAAGAATTACTACGGAACTGACAGTAAAGCCAAGAATTCCTTAATCGCGTATCATAATGATACGCTTTTAGGGCTTGATCGTTTCCCGTGTGTTGATCATTCATACATACCTACATTAATCAGTTTTTTGTTCCTCCTGAAACATTTGATACGTGGAACTGGCTCTTATAGGACGAAATCCGGCTCCCTTAAAAGGAATGAGAGCAGAATGCAGTTTTTTACAGAGAAACGAGCGCAGTCTACGGTTGTTCGTTGGTATTGGTCTTACTCTGGAGCACGATTATGGTTGTCTATGACATTTTGACTCCTCTCTCTCTCTCTCTCTCTCTCTCTCTCTCTCTCTCTCTCTCTCTCTCTCTCTGTGTGTAAGTCTGTCTGTCTGTCTCTCTCTATGTTTATGAGTGTGTGTGTGTGTGTGTGTGTGTGTGTGTGTGTGTGTGTGTGTGTGTGTGTGTGTGTGTGTGTGTGTGTGTGTGTGTGTGTGTGTGTGTTTGTGTGTAAGAGAAAGGTGGGAGAGAGGGAAGGTGAGGTGGGTTGTAGAGTCCATTTCTGTGTCTGGATCAGGGCTAGAGCTTAGACTTTGACTTAGTGTACATATTTTAATTTGTGTGTGTTTTTGCGTGCATATGCGAGTGTGAGTATTGTAACACGTTTCATGGAAAGAAAGGCAGAGGTAGACAGAGGGAAAAGATACTGGACAAGTTGACAACATGGCTGGGAACAGCAAGAACGACAGACAGAGTGAAGTGGAGGTCCATGATCGCCCAAGCCAGTCGGCAAGACACCCGAATGATGATAATGCGTTTGTGTGTGTATGTGTGTGTATGTATGTTTGTATAAGCTTTGTGTGTGTGTGTGTGTTTGTGTGTGTGTGTGTGTGTGTGTGTGTGTGTGTGTGTGTGTGTGTGTGTGTTGGTGTACTCGCCTTAACAAACTGGTCTTTTTGTACTTTATTTCAGTGATGCACATTATTGGCCACTTATTCAATTTCTACCACATCAGTACACAGGCCTCTTTGGACTTGAATTGTTACTTCCGAGAATATTTCCGAGCGTAAGTACTTCGCTTGACGTCATTCCCCACATTTGCAAGTACATGTACTTGTATGGGGTTCATAACACTTAGATGAGAAGTGTGCTTTGTTTTTTGAAAATTATTGTCTTATTTTTAATGAGTGAAAAGAGCTCTATTTTGTGAATTAAGTAAGCCTACATAATATGCCATAACAGAAAACATCCTTTCAGTAATGGACACACCAGTCTTTTTTGTTTCATCCTTGTCTTTTGGAATTTATTTTCTGTTTCAGTACTTTCTCAATACTTATGCTGTGAACTACACATTTTAGTTATCAGTAGTTCTGTGCAAACCCCTATCTCCATCAACAACTTAATTCTGAAAGGCCTCTTCCTCCTACATGAGGTACTTGTTATTTTCATTCTTTCTGTACTTGCTCTACTTTACAGCATTGTATCAACAACTGTTTTGAAGGAAATGAGATCAATATTATTTGCGGTTTTTCAAAAGTAAAGTTGTATCGCTCCAGTAATAATGATTTTATTCTTTCATGCTTTCATTTCATATCTTTTTTACTTTTATCCTATTTAAACCATGCAATTCGGAAGGACGCTTTTTGTTTTTCCTCTTTCCAAGGTCTTTGGACGAAATAAGGTTTAGAAAACATTAAGGATAAATAGAAAAATATTCTATATTTTCCAAATAATTTTCTTTTATGATGTATTTCTTTTTGTCTTGTTACTTTGCCCAGAACTCACGAACTGGCCAGCTTCCACTACTGGACTTACCAGACTGTCACAGGTAAAGAATCTCAATATCTTGAATGCAGTTTATAGGACTAGACTCTAATATGTGTGTGAACCATACTCTAGCCTCTGCTCCTCTGCTAACTGTCTAAGGAAACGTCTCCCTACCCAAAGCATTAGACCTACACCGCACATTACCTGTAACTATTTTCTTTCTTTGTATAATAGTATTGACACAGCAGCTTTCTCTAGTTTAGGTGCACTTTCTTTGAGGTTGGGACATTTCTCTGACGTGCAAATCTATGTAAATGGGAGTTGTTTTTACGATTTGTTTAAGAACGTTCAGAAGACCCCAGACTATGAAATATGAGTTTTGTGTACGATGATACATGAACTGTAGACCCTATGCAAAGTATGTCAGTACAAGTCACACCGGCAGAGATGGCTACAAACTATATGGTTGACAGAATATTGATGTTTGAGACAAAATACTCAGACTTTGGCTTAGCCTGAAAAGCTATGCGTTCGATTTCCAAAATGAGGAAGATGAATAAGAAGCACCTGTCTTTCTGCCAGGAGGTATGCCTAAATCGCGTATATAGTGCCGGTGGATTTGTAAGAGATTTACTGCTAACAGATCATTACGGGACCTTTGAGGCTGCACCGGATTAGTCATAGGCTTATATACAGGTTAAATCATGGTTTAAATTATTCTGTCCCCTCTTGGAAAATTATAACTTTTTGTCCTATGTCCCTGAAAAAAACATACGACTCCGTCTTTGAAAAACCTATTCTGGCTTCAGTGATGCATTAAGTTTGAACAAAACGTGTTATTTAAGTTGAGTTCCTAGTGACCATCGCAGATGTTCTAACCGTCCTTCAGGTCTGACTGGTGTGGCCCTGACCCTTGTGCTGTTGGTCATGTATGTTTTTGCCTCGCCCTACGCCAGACGTCACGTGTTCTTATACTTCAGCACAACACACAAGTGAGTGGATGATCAAAGGCATACATTAAAACATTTAGAGTAAAATGGTTTTATGGGTTGTTGTTTTTTAAATTTTACTCTTTACACATATCTTGTAGAATGCTGCAATTTCAAATCAATCTTGACAAACTTATCTTGCCTTACCCGACATTGCCACCCCTTATCCTTTTTTGGACCTCACAGTATCACGTGTTGTCTAACTAGAAATCAATTCATCTCTTTTTCTTTTCCCCTTATCCCACTTCACGTCATCTTAAATTTCCATTCCTAACAACATCTTTGCTCCACTGACCACTCCAGGGTCATCTTACCCTTCTCGTAATCCCCTGTCCACACCCCTCCCAACCACACACCTCATTTGACCTTAGTTTATTTCACTGTATTGTGGGGTTTTTTTTTATTTTGCTTCACCCTTCCTTACTATACCTTGGAAACCAGCAGTGCTTTATGTTTTACACCACGGCTGGGTTTTTTCCTTTCTAAATTCCTAAGTAAGTGGCGAACACAGTTTATCATGTAGCTTCGTCTTCGTGCTTGGTCTTGGATGCACTCCACACTGTTTAGCTTAATCTTGGTGGACAGTGTCCTATCTGAGTCTAGCAACCCTCCTCCTAATTAATCTATGTTGTTTTGACATAAGCTTGATAGATTCATAACCGCCTTACCATTACCATCCAATAACTAAAAATGAAAACGTTCTGTCCTGGACTCCACAGCCTGTATATTGTGGTGTACTTCCTCATGTTCCTGCATGGGGCTGCACGCCTGGTCCAGGTCCCTCTCTGGCCGTATTTCTTCCTGGGTCCCATGGTGCTCTTCCTCCTGGACAAGTTGGTGTCGGTCAGCAGGAACAGGGTGCTCCTCCCAGTACACAAAGTCACGCTGCTGCCCTCTGGTAGATCTAATTCAATGAGTGTTTTCTTTACTAAAACTAAAAATTGGACCGCCCTTCCACCCCACCAATGCACCCCCCTTTTTTACAGTTGTCCTCTGTAAAACATAATTAATTCCCTTGTACCCTTTAAGCAGTGCTGTCAAATTGTCTCTGCTTACAAAAATTAAATTTTTGAGCAGCTTTGGGAAACTGCTATTATCAGAAGAGTTAGTGAAGTAGACGAACTTGATGGTAAACCCATAAACGTATTATCAGAGAAAAGTGACACTTGTTCTGAGCCTGAGGAGTGTGGATAGAATTGCGTTGAAAATCTATTTTGGCAATGCTTCTATTGTTTAAAGGTTCCACCTTCACCTTGGCCTCCTGACCAGCTCCATTTAGTCAAAATCCCTCATTGAGCCAGATCTGCTCTGTGAAAATAGCGGAAATGGTATAGGGTCAATGCCCATATCAACGCTATTATGTTATTTAAGAGGCGGGACCTCCCAGTTTAACGACCATCTCCTACAGGGCCGAGCCAAATGAGAAATTCGTGCAGAGGGTCTTTCAGAACGACACAACGTCTGACTGAACTAAGGTTCGAACCGCGAACCCGTAATCAAACGATTACGGGTCCGCAAGCCTGACGCCACCGGTCAGCTCTTTTGATATCCTGCGTATACATAATGATTTATGAGCTTGCCGTTGGTTGTCATAATATTTTGCTTCAGGGAAATAATATATAATATAATTATTGTGCATACTATTGTCGCTATCGTTGGGTATGTGTGTAAAGTTAGTGTACGTACTTTCTTTTCTATGGTTTTTTGTCTATATATTTATTTATATTTGTCCATTTATCCGGAAATCTGTTTGTCATTCCACAATCTATTTATTTCTCTTTCATTACTAACATTTTCAACCAGTGTCACAAATTTAACAAAAAACTCTTTTCTCCCACGCCCTCTCAGGGGTCACCAATCTGGTATTCAAACGGCCACTCACTTTTAACTACCAGTCGGGCCAGTGGGTGAGGATTGCCTGTCCAGCTCTTGGGGCAGGGGAGTATCATCCATTCACGCTCACGTCTGCACCTCACGAGGAAAGTCTGAGCCTCCACATCCGGGCAGTCGGGCCATGGACAACCAACTTGCGGCGTATATTTGACCCAAACACCGCAAACAGGCTGGGTTATCCAAAGGTAATTCTTCTATTTTTTACGATAACATTGTTGTAGTCCTATGCCCAACTTGTTAGCTATCAGAATACGCGTACGATAATATTGATTGCGTGATAAAGCACATGGCTACAAGGCTACAAGCAATGATTATAAATATTTACGGTCTCTGGCTACAAGAAAGCAATTCAGAAGACAAGACAAACCAGTCAGACCAACTAGGGGTTGAATCATGGGACCTACAAATAAGACATTTAATGGTGGACGATTCTTTATCAAATCTGCTGACCAAAAAAAACTTCAATAATACCGGGAAAAAGACCCAAGTGGGCTAGTAATAGTTATATTCCTACCCGAAATATATTGATACGCAAACCGCTGTATATATACTAGAGCATTTAGATACACCAGTACTGGGCTTAAACTAATATTTTTTAACTGATCACGATTGATTTTCAGCACACTGTGCTCTGAGACTCAGCTGGTACTCAGCCTCTCAGTCCGACGTCCAGGTCTTTCTTCTACTGATCTGTTTCCCCATTGAATCATTTAGCCCTCCTCTGTCCTATCTTGAGTATGATCCTAAAGAATTGTTATTTACCCCCTACCTCCTAGTTTAGTTTTAGTATAGGTTTTACGGTGCTCGTAACTGCATAATGTCGTATGAGGGCCAAACCCCTTGCCTCCAACCACACACACACACACACACACACACACACACACACACACACACACACACACACACACACACACACACACACACACACACACCTAGAGAGAGAGAGAGAGAGAGAGAGAGAGAGAGAGAGAGAGAGAGAGAGAGAGAGAAACTAACACACACACACACACACACACACACACACACACACACACACACACACACACACACATACACACACACATACATACACAGAGAGAGAGACAGACAGACAGACAGACAGACAGAGAGAGAGAGAGACAGACAGACAGAGAGAGAGAGAGAGAGAGAGAGAGAGAGAGAGAGAGAGAGAGAGAGAGAGAGAGAGAGAGAGAGAGAGAGAGAGAGAGAGAGAGAGAGAGAGAGATCTACATAATCTAAGATCTTAATGCAGTGATTTTTTAACCTTGTTGAGAACACCGAAACTGAAACGAGTAGGATTTGTACGTACATTCACCAAGTTTAGTGAACGGAACATCTATAGTTTGAAACTTGTGGGGTTCAGTACTTCCAACAAAGATTAGAACAAGGCTACTGATTGCGAACTTAATGCTATCTTGTTCCAATACCATGTTTCTGGTTTGTCTGTAAATCCCTTTGAAAAGCACTGAACTTCAATAGCAAAAGTGGTAGTTACTACAAAATAGAAACTGAAATTAGTGGAAATCAACAGGACACGAGCATTTACTGTATGTAATTGTGTGCTCAAAAGGGGGTGGGGGTGGTCATCAATCGTAAAAAGCTATAATATGACTGCTTTAAAACAAATGTCGGAATTGGAGTAAGTACGAGATATCACTCATCTTGCGTGATCTTAATGACTTAATGAAACATAAAAATTTACCACCACTCAGATCTATGTTGATGGCCCATTCGGAGAAAGTCACCAGGACTGGTTCCGCTACAAAGTGGCTGTTCTTATTGGCGGAGGCATTGGTGTCACTCCATTTGCTTCTATCCTTAAGGACATTGCTTATCGCTCCAAGGAAGTCGGACGCTTCACCTGTGACAAGGTTTGTTATGTGTATCCACTATTTTAAAACTAAACCTAACCTATACAATTCATTATCCATTCAGAGAGCCACCAGCTTTTTACGTGAAGGTGCTGTTTTAGTCTCTTTCTGTCTGTTCTGACATTTCCTTTAATTTTCCTTGTTTGTTAGCCCGCATCTTCACCGACCTAGAAATCAACATACCAAAAGTCGTCCGTCTCTCAGGAAAGGGGTAGTTGAAATACAGCATCGGTGTTTACCTTAGCAATGAGTTCCATTTGGGAATGTCCACCAAAATGAGCAGACTTTTTCCCCCACAAAAGTCGTGTCAGTTGCAATGCAACTTGCGGCATTTTAGCCAGATGGTCTGGTGACTCATCAGCCAGAGGAAAACAAACAATGATTTTAAGTTCCGATGAAAAATATGTGTAATATTCAAAATTGGCTCCTCACAATTAGCAAAGTCTACGCGTAAAGCACCGGTTTGAATGAATATAATTGCGATTTTACTTTTTTTTAATGGTTCATACTCTGTTGTTCCCTCCCTGTCTTCCTTATTAAACTTCCTTAAATGTTGCCCAACTAGATAAAAATCAGGTCAGTTCTGCTTTGGTGGACACGTCTGTGCCTGTACCAGTGGTTTGCAATTTTAAAATGAAAAACGAACCATGGCGCGCTGGTGGATTGGTTGGAAAGTGAACGAATGGAAAAGGAACTTATAAGAACAGAAAAAAATAGTTACTAGATGGAAGGGGGGGGGGCATACTTTGCAAGGATAACGATGACACTGAGTATCGTTTCGCAATAACTTTAAATATGTTGATAGATTTGAAGTAGCCTACTCCTAAATGGAATTGGTCATGATGAATTTCAGAATGGAGAGAGAGGGAGAGAGAGAGAGA